ACAAAAATCACACTGACACAGAAATGTAGGAGACTTCATGGGCTTCACACCGTCCCTAAAACGAGCAAGACCCCCACGTACTGAAGTCACTATCCTTGGCCCCAGGGTCATACCCTTGAGGGAAAAAATCACAAGGACTTCTGAGCAGCTCAGCTTCTTCAGAAACTAACTTCAGGTACTCTGATGCCAGGCAGATGGGGGACTTGTGACTCCCAAATTTGTCTTCTTTACCCCCAGAGAGGTGGTATAAAGCAGAGGGGGTGTGTTGGGCTTGGAATAACAAACTCAGAATAGGAAGCTTGAACTGAGTGAGCCCTGCAGGACTTGGGGTTTGACTGCCCTCCAGGTCCACCCTGAGAGGATGGATGCCTGAGTACCCAACTGACTCACCACCCATGTGGGATATCAGGGACATGATCACCTATTTTTCAAATGGAACATTTCAAACAAAGTAAAAATGTAGGAAGGAAAGGTTCTCAATTTGCTAAACAATTCACACTGATGTTCCTGGCAACATTAACAATTTCTTTTTTAACATTTTATTTTTTTCCTTTTATAAAAGACTTTATTTTCTTAAAATGTCTAACCTTTATTTTTTTTTATTGTCTAAAATTTTATGTATGTCTCTTTTCCCTCCAATTGACCCCCTCCCCCATTCCTTCCCAGTCCAAGCAAGCCCCTACCACCCCACTGTTTGTGTTCATTGGTTATGCTAATATGCATGCATGTAAGTTCTCTGGTTGCTCTCTAACCCTCCTCCCTTATCATTTGTCTCTAGATCCATCTGTTCTTTTATTATTAAATTATGTTGATAATTATATCCCACATATGAGTGAGATCATGTGATATTTATCTTTCTTCAACTGGCTTATTTCGCTTAGCATAAAATTCTCCATTAACAATTTCTTTTAATTTTTAAATAAATCTTTATTGTTCAGATTATTACAGCTGTTCCTCTTCCTCCCAATAGCTCCCTTCCACTCAGTTCCCACCTCACCCTCTGCCCTTCCCCCTCACACTGTCCTCATCCATAGGTGTATGATTTTTGTCCAGTATCTTCCCGCATCCCCCACATTCCCTTCCCCCTGAGAATTGTCAGTCCACTCCCTTTCTATGCCCCTGATTCTATTATATTCACCACTTTATTCTGTTCATCAGATTTTTTATTCACTTGATTTTTAGATTCACTTGTTGATAGATATGTACTTGTTCATAATTTTTATCTTTACCTTTTTTTTTCCTTCCTCTTCTTAAAGAATACCTTTTACATTTTATATAGTTCTGGTTTGGCAGTGATAAACTCCTTTAGCTTTTTCTTATCTGTGAAGCTTTTATCTGACTTTCAATTCTGAATGATAGCTTTGCTGGGTAGAATAATCTTAGTTGTAGGTTCTTGCTATTCATCACTTTGAATATTTCTTGCCACTCCCTTCTGGCCTGCATAGTTTCTGTTGAGAAATCAGCTGACAATTGTATAGGTACTCCCATATAGGTAACTAACTGTTTTTCTCTTGCTGCTTTTAATATTCTCTCTTTGTCTTTTGCTCTTGGCATTTTAATTATGATGTGTCTTGGTGTGGTCCTGTTTGCATTCCTTTTGTTTGGGGTTCTGTGCACTTCCTGGACTTGTAAGTCTATTTCTTTCACCAGGTAAGGGAAGTTTTCAGTCATTATTTCTTCAAATAGGTTTTAAATATCTTGCTCTCTCTTTCTTCTTCTGGCACCCCCATAACTTGGATGTTGGCATGTTTGAAGTTGTCCTATCTTCATATTTTTGGATTCTTTTTTCCTTTTGCTTTTCCAGTTGGGTGTTTTTTTTTGCTTCTTTGTATTTGAAATCTTTGATTCAATTCTTGCGATCCTCTAGTCTGCTGTTGGATCTCTGTATATTATTTTTTATTTTAATCAGTGTGCAAATTTGTGCGGGATTTGGGTCACACCCTGGTCAAATCATGCACAAATCAGGGGAGCAAAAATAAGTGCATGCTTAATTTCTAGTTGGTCCTTTTTCATATCCTCGAGGGTCTCACTAAATTTATTGGTGGTTTCTAGAAGATTCTTGAAAAACCTTATAACCATGGTTTACCCTCTATATCCAGTCGTTTGCTTTCCTCCATTTCTGTCATTTGTGACCTGTTTCTTTGTCTCTGCATTTTGGCTGATTCCCTGTATTGATAGAGTGGCTTTGTGTGCTAGATGTACTATAGGACCCAGTGGCTTATTCTCCCCAATTACCTGAGGTGACACCCTTGGTGAACTCCTTTGTGGGCTGGTGCATAGTCTTGTTGTAGTTAAGCCTTGATTGTTGTTGGTATCATTGGAAAGAATTGACCTCCAGGCCAATTGGCTGTGAGGATCAGCTCTGTCTAAGATGGGAGAACTTCTGTGTTGGAGACACCCTTATGAGACAAGACTTGCTTCAGTGGGCCTTTGGTGCTCACTGAGTCTGCCCCCTGAGTGTGTCCCTTATGGATCTAAGGAGTTGTAATCTGGATGGTCCTACTCTGACCCCTGAGTACACTGGCTGTTGGATCTCCAAGGAGGTGCAAATTTAACCTTGCCTGAGGCTACCCAGCAGGAGCTATGAAGAGAGCTGAAGATTCCTCTTCTTGATTTGGGTTTTGGAGGTTCCCAGATGAGGCCCAGCTGTGAAGCAATGCAAGCTGCTGTGGAGCCTTGGGCCTTCTTTTGGAAGTTTTAGACTCTTTGACCCAGCTGCAGTTTGTTAGGTAATTTTAGATTGCAAAGGGCCAGGCCATTCATATGCAAAAGAATCTGTGCACAGCTGGGGTGGGGTTGTAAATTGGGTGGGGCAGGGTCTCAGGGAATCAACAGGGCGGAGAAAACAGCAATGGCTGCCTTTCAGTACTGCCCTAAGAGGCCCCTGGGTCTCAGTGTCCCTCAATAATTGCTACAAGCACCTCTGAGAAAAAGCCACCCTCCTGTTCTGGACTGATGCCAAACAGTCCAGTTTTACACTGTAGGAGTCTGGGTCCCCAGAGTCTCACCAGGAACTGGAGTTCAGAGTAGTTGGGAGCTTGTGTCTCCCTCCCAAATGAAAAAGACAACCAGTCCTCAGTTGCCAGCCCTTCCCATGTCGGCGCCTCCATACCTTCGTACTTTTACTTCTGCACCTCCTCTGAGTCTCAGTGTGCTTTTCTCTTCCCTTCTCGTTGTAGAATTTCCACTCAGCCAGCCTTCCTGTGGTTCTGGATGATGTCCATTTTGTTTTTAATTGTAGTTTTGAAGTGGTTGTGTGAGGTAGCAAGTTCAGGTGTTTACCTATGTCACCATCTTGGTTTTTCCTCCCATTAACAATTTCTTGACTCCATGTAAGAGTTAGTCTAACCTACAAATCTGCAAAAACCAGGGGAGCATCATCCTGTGTAACCTAAGATCCAATGGGCTTAATTCTTTTCCACCTGCTATCTCAGAGCACAGGGATCCAAAGCAGCCCAGGAAGTCTGGGGTGGTGGTGGTGGTGGTGGTGTGTGAGATGACCTGCAGCAAGTATGAGGGGTTCTCTGTTAGTTTTGTCCTCCCTGCCAACTTTCAATCCATTGCTGTCAATAGTGGGCGACACTGAGATTTTAGAGTAGCGGGCACAAGCTAAGAGCCTACTTCCCAAAATGGAGCCTATAGCTCTCTACAAAAGAGCTACTTTTGGACTTATTTCGTCAACACCAATCCTTTGACCATCCCTTCTAGTTCTGATCTTCCAGGTAGAGACTTAGATGACTTATTGCAATTGGGACAACAGAGAGAGACCCAAATGGCTAACCCAGTTTTTGAGAGATCACAGTGGTCAAAGTCCAGAAATAAACCTCAACTGGTCATCTTCATCTTAAAAAGTAAGTTGATGATACTGTCCACTGAGAGTTAGTGCTCCACAATTGTCAACTGCTAATGTATAAACTTCTTAAAATAATAATAACACCAACAACTAGGCAACAACAATTCAAAACATGTTAATTAATTTTCAAAATATTATTTCTAAAATATAGTAAATAAGTTACGCTGTTTGGGCTCCCTTAAATATAAGCATTTTCATTGGGGGTGATATAGTTCCCAAGGGGGCCAACAGTGGCTCTTGAATATGAAAAAAATATTACTCTTTTTTTAATAACCTTACCCAAGGACATGCTTAGAGAGAGAAGGGGGGGAGTGGAAGGAGAGAAAGAGAAAGAGAGAGAAAGAGAGAGAGAGAGAGAGAGAGAGAGAGAGAGAGAGAGAGAGAGAGAGAGAGAGATGTGAGAGAAATATCTATTGATTGCTTTCCGTATGCTCCCTGACTGGGGGTCAAACCCACAACTGAGGTATGTACTGACTGAGAATTGAACCAGCAACCTTTTGGTACATGGAACGAAACTCAACCAACTGAGCCACTTTGACAGGGCAAATATTACTCTTTTACACAGAAACTAAAGTATACATATCACACATATATGTCTTTGGTATTAAATTTTCATGAGGAGATGATTAGGAAAAAAGTCTAACAAGAGTCCTTGGAGGGAGGGGCAATAGGAAACAATGGTTGAGAAACACTACTTAAGTAGAGAATAACAATTATGTTCTTTGCTATAGGACTCAAAGTTATGCATACAGACTTCTCTCCTTACTTTCTGGGATGGTTATTGAGGTAAATGGGTGGGTTTGTTCCTTCTTAATGACCCTGACCCAGAGCCCAGGTGCAAATGTTTTCCTGGGTGGTAAGTTTTCTCCCTCACTTTTCTAGGTTACCTAATCATTCCTCAGTGGGTTATTTTCTAGCAGTGGCCTGTCAAATCCATAATCTAAATTTTACAGGTAAATATTTAAATCCATCCTAGTCAGAAAGCAGCAACCTACTTTCCTATTGAATTGTGTGAACAGCTGAGTGGACTGTCTTATGCCTGTTCATTATTTTCACGCGTCTCTGTGTTTGCATGTGTGTTTTTGACGGTTGAGATCACCAGGAAAACCTTAGATCATGTTCCACTGGAACAAGCAGAAAAACTTACAGTGCAAAGTGTTTCGAAGGTCTTTTCAGAGACAAAGGATCCATCAAGGCCAAAGAGAAAGATGGATGTATAGGAGAGCATTCCTCCCAAGATGATGAGGTTGTTCATGTATGGACTCGACATTTTTATCAGCCTGACAAGAGAAAGAGATACCACAGTTACAGAACGGATAGTGTAGCTATTCCTTCCACAAATATTTCGACTGTGTATACTGTTGTGAAGGCTAGAGGGGGAGAGAAAAATCTAAGTCCTGATCTCCTCCATTACCCTCTTCCTGAGACTGTGCCAAATGCTTATCTGACTTATGTCTTAGGGGCTGTTTCCCCCTCACTAAAGGACCCCAGACAGCTATCAACTCCCAGTTGTTGATTTTCCTGCCCCTTGGTCAAGTTCACTCACCACTTCTCTAGGGACAGCTTGTAGCATCAGCTTCTTTAACCACTAATTTTTAATTTACACAAAAACATTATGTTAACAGCTTTTTGTGTCTGGAGCTGGGAAGACATGTAAAATCTAGAGAATTCTACATTTAGGTTCAGCAAGCCAGGACTTGATTAAACCATCAGCTGCTGGAGTTCACCCTCAGAGGCGCCTGGCACAATCCACTCAGAACATCTTGGGTTTTCAGGTGCTCCATGACCCAGGTGTTCTTTTGCAGACTGTAATTATGGTCAATTGTTCCCTGAACCTTTCCCTTCAGAATATGTATTTCTGCCGAAACCGGTTTGGCTCAATGGATAGAGTGTCGGCTTGGGGACTGAAAGGTCCTGGATTCGATTCCGGTCAAGGGCATGTACCTTGGTTGCGGGCATATCCCCAGTAGGGGGTGTGCAAGAGGCAGCTGATCGATGACTCTCTCATCGATGTTTCTAACTCTATCTCTCTCCCTTCCTCACTGTACAAAATCAATAAAATATATTTTAAAAATATATATTTCTATTAATCCTTCCACATGGAAAACGTGTAATGTGGTATCAAAGTGGAAGAGAGAAAAACCCTGCTGTAAATTGTGGACCATTTACATGGCCTTTCGAATTGGGAGCAATGGGTCCAGCGCTTGGTCCCTGCTATCCACAGAGGTGCACAAAGATTGGCAAAGCAATTACCTGGCTGAACTTCCTCACCTGTAAAAGCACAGATCACACTGCCTAGGGCCGTGGCCGGCAAACTGCGGCTCATGAGTCACATGTGGCTCTTGGGCCCCTTGAGTGTGGCTCTTCCACAAAATATCATGGCCTGGGTGAGTCTATTTTGGAGAAGTGGCGTTAGAAGAAGTTTAAGTTTAAAAAATTTGGCTCTCAAAAGAAATTTCAACTGTTGTACTGTTGCTATTTGGCTCTGTTGACTAATGAGTTTGCCGACCACTGGCCTAAGGCACATGTGAAGTTGAGATGGGACTGGGTTTCTGGAGGCCCTTTTATAAACCAGGATCTGCTAAGCACCTTCATTCTTATTATCACAGGAAGGAGGGGAGAAGACAGGAGTTGGGTAGGCTTCCTGAAGGAGAGGACCTTAATTTTGTAGGTAACATTTAGGAAGACAAAAGTGAGGGGTATCTGGAATTTAAAATCTGCAAAACCAGTAAAAAAAAAAAAAAAAAAATCACATGGAAGTCAGCCTATTGGAAAGAATAACGATAATTTCCCCCAGGAGGCTAAGATGGGGTATTTTAGGAATTAAAGGAGTTTAGACTTATTTTAGGGGCCTCTCACCATTGTGATGGGACTTCTTGAACTTTGTGGGAAGGGAACCTAATGTTAATTAAGACTTATGTGCCCAGGCCTTGTGCCAAATGCTCATTTAAGGTTTGTATGCAGTGGACAAAAATTGCTTTGATTTTGTGTGTGTGTGTGTGTGTGTGTGTGTGTGTGTGTGTGGCAGTGAATGTGTTATTAGTGATAAAGAAAATAAAACAACAGTCCAATAAAATTCCATTTTGCCCTTCAGGAAATAGATTTGGCCTGAGCAGTTGCAAACAAACAAACAAACAAACAAAAAAAAAAACTAAACCAACAGCAACAAAAAATTGAGAGCCTGGAGGTTTCTCGTTTACAAACAAAGAAAAGAAAAACAACTGTTCTCCTGGAATCGGGCTTGTTCCTAGCAGCCCTGGAGGTCATGCATCGTGAGCTGTGCTGACCGTGGGTGGGCGCTGGGCCTGTGACTGAGAAGGTCCTGCTCTGAGTCCTTGCTCACCCTCTCCCTCTTCCAGGAGCTGGAAACTAAAGAAGCTGCCTGTGCTTGGTAAACACTACCACCTGGGATGGTGACCTTTTCTACCCACAACTGACCGGAATAACTCAGAAAGCGAGCTGCTCTCCTCTGGAGAGGGAAGGGCATGTGCGAGGGAACAGAAATCAAGGGGATGAATTCTGCCACTTGCACAAGGGTGGCCTTGGACAGTGGCCTCTGCCATTGAGCTTCTGTGCTCACATCTGTCACCTGGGGAGGGGCTTCCTGGACTGCAGTGAGCTGTAACTAATGAAGTGCCAGGCCTTGCACTTAGTGAACCCCCTAGACAGTGCTTCCCCAAGATGCCGGGATGGGACGGAGACACTGGAGAATGCTGTCTTCTAGATTTCTCCTCCTGGGCCAGCACAAACTGCAGGAGCACAGACAAAGTCCTGAGAAGGCCTATGGACCTAGATCCTTCAGTTTTACTTAAACTTGCCTTCCTCAGATTTATACAGAGGCTCCTGGGCAGCCCTGTGTCTGTGTGTATTTAAGTGTGTGTGTGTGTGTGTGTGTGTGTGTGTGCATGTGCGCACACGTATTCAGGAAACACCGAGTAACATCACAACGAATGACTGTAGGAAACTGCTCTACAATATTCTGTAGCCCTGAAGAATCCAGGGTGCTCGCATACTTTGTCCATGAGATTTGTCGATCCATAAAGCATGATCCAAGAGGAGAGTGTGAATGACTTACTTCTGATTCCGGTTCTTGATGTTGAAAAAGAGAAAAGCGCTGGCCATGATCATCCCCAGGATGGTGAGGGCAGACAGGATGCTGTAGAGAGGTAGGGAGATCTTCCGGAGCTGCTCTAGGATGATGGTCTTGTCTTTTGGGGGTTCGGATCCTAGAAGGCAAGGAAAAGACATCAACCGAGCCCAGTGCAATCAGTGCCTGAGGGCATCTCTGCCTGGGTGTTTCTGACATTTGCCACTGGTGCCCAAACTCTGTGCAGGACACAGCTACTGGGTGAGCGGGCTCTCGTGGCTGGCCAGCCTGCCTAGCAGGGAGCCTTAGCCAGGACTTATTTCTTTCTCTAAAGAGAATCAATAAGGAATTTGTGATGCATTTAATAGCCATTAGAAGACTAGAATTTTATTTGGTCTAATTATCCTGTTGAAAAACTGTTGCCATGTATCCCCAAAGGTAACAGTGGCTTGGAAGGTGCAGGGCTGGGTGCTGTGAGTGGGTATCCCTGGGTGTCACTGGGAGTGAGGAACTAGGCTTTGGCTTTCAAGGGTTATGTGCCAACACATGTTAATGACCGTCCCTCAACAGGGTGGACTCCTTGCCTGTTGATTCCACAGAGATGCATATGTGCTCTGGTTGTGGATTTTCTGCTTCAAGGTCATTATGTTATAAAAGCTCTTTCTGATTTTCCATTTTCATCGGACTCGCTAACTGTGGGAGGCAGAAGCTGCCTGCGTGCCTTCCCCTCCCTGAGGTGCCAGGACTGGATAGACACTGTGGGACTCCACATCTCTGTGTGACTGCGAACTGTCCCTGCTCGTTCTTCAAGGGCACAGGTACCTGGGGGAGCCCCAAGGGAGGCTGAGCAGACTCATCTTTATAGAAGGTGGCACAACTGTCCCGTTTTAGTTTTACCAGGTGCAGGGAGGCTTGGGAGGACAAATGCAGGAAGAACACCCGACCCCACCCCATCCCACCCCACTTCTTGCTAATCCTCTTTCTCAGCGGCTGTGTTTGGTCAGGTTTCTGCTGGAGGACTGTGAAATAATGTTGGGGCTTTTCCCTCATGTGTGGAATCAGCCAGGTGCTTGGGGGACCCAGCAGGGGTCACTATGAGTGCCCCCACCCCGTGGCTGTGCCATAGGTGCCAGCCTACATTATGCCTCCCTTCCCAGGAGACAAACTGGATGGGCAGATATTGCTTTTAGGGTTTAGGGCTCCCCCAAACACCTTTCAAAAACTTTGACAGCAAGTTGAAATGTTTGGAAACATTCAGTGGCTAAGAGGTCTTTGAACATCTCAACAGCCTAGGGAAGCTGCCAGGTTGGAAAGCAGCTAGGAACCTGCTGGCATGGTTAATGTAAAGTGTTAAGCAATCCCAAGTAAACAGAATTTTATGAGGAGTGGCTCTAAGGACTAAAAGTCAGGGCAAAAGCAGACACAAGGCGACGGAGGTAGCACCATTTGTTGCTTCCAGTGAAAGCGCAACATCTGAAAACTTCCTCACCCTCCCTATTTACCTCCCTCTCCCCCCACCTGTAGCCTGGGCCGTATGAGGCTGGCTCAGGTGACTTCTGGATCCCTAATATGAGAGCCATTTTAGGGCTGCCCATGAGTTCTCGGCTGGAAACAAGCCACTCTCTGGGCACTGAGAAAGGGTTATACGATGACTAGCAAATAGGATCCAGTCAGGGAGCTCAATCCAGATATTTTAATACAAAGTGATAGAGGCCATGGTAAAGGTGGGGGGAAAATCTATGAAAGCCAAAAGAAGGGAGCCATTAGCATGGTTGGGGGGCAATTAGGGAAGGCTGTCCAAAAGAGGTGTTATTTGAGGGAACGGTCTTCCAGGAAGTGCAGCATGTGGAGAGACCCTATTATCAACCAAACTAAGTTCTTTCCCAGAGGAAAAGACAGAGCTAAATTTAGCCCTGGGCCACATTTAAAATGAATCATTCCTGGCCATCCTCTGGTTTAAACAGATGCTTCAGCGAAAGCCAGCGTTCATACAAATTCCAGTGACCCATCCCAGGAGCTGGAATATAGCTCCCGTGTGAGTGACGGGGACCTTGTGCTCAGTGAGTGAGTGCATGTGTTGACAGGAGAGGATGTTCCCTCTTCCCCACAAGGCCAAAGACTCTGAGAGCTTGTACGAAACCCTCAGATAATATCCAAGCTTGTGAGCAATTGGGCAGACCTCCTCCAAGAAGGCCACCTGCCTTACCTTGGAACCTAATGGTGTCGTTGATGATCTCCAGCGTGTCAGCCACTGCGTTGTATTCTCCCACCTTCACCTCCCTGCGGTCTGTGGGGAGCAATGGAGAGTGGCTGGTTAGAGCTGAGTCCTGTGTTTGGGTCTGAGCGCTCCTCTCTCAGCTCTTGCTCTCCCCACAGGCCCTGGCTATATTCTTGCAGGCTTTTCCTTTCCCCAGGTGGAATCACAAAACTCCCAATCTGATCTGGGCTAGAACAAACACCCTCTCACACTCTCTTGTCAACAGTCCTTTGCTGTACATGCGTAAAAGGGGAGCTCACTCCCTATAACAGGATTCTCTGCCTGCTACCAAGGCCTTCCTGGTCATGGAGCTGAATGTTTGCTCTGTAACTCCCTGTCATCTGACTCTGCCCTTTAGGAACACACAGGCTATCTCTACTCCCTCTGCTCCAGGGAGGCCTAGAGATTGAAGACAAAGACAGAACAGCCCCTCACACACACACTTCCCCCACCCCACCTTACTAAACATCATTTCTATTTCCCACCTTACGCAGGCCCCTCCTGGGGCCACATTCCACAATATCGCTGTCTGTCTGATACAGTGTAGACCCAAGGACTGACCAACACACTTTAGGCATGATGTGGTCAGCACCATCCCCTCCTTCTTTCTGCACATTACATATCTATTGATATATTCTGAGGTAGAATTAGCATCTTTCAGAGGACACATTGCTCTGCTGAAGAATACTGAGCACAGTGTTCTTCCTATGCACGTGTCCAGGTGTGTTTTCAGACCTTAGTGGTGCATTTAAATTTTCCTTCATCCTAGATACTATTCTGCTGTTGGGTTTAGGTCAGTGACATTCAACTGGTATGCGGCAAGAATTTTTAAAACATGCAATGCCTGACTATTTAGTCAGGGACACTGACTTCTTTCCCCTTAGATTGTCAAAAACAAAAATGACAACAGCAACACAACAATAGCTATTCAGGGTGAATGAATTAAAATTATACTTATTTTTTTGTCAGATTGGCAAAAAAAAAGTATTTTGGGAGTGCTGCAGATTTTTAGCAATTAGCTTATGTGTGCCACAAGGTGAAAAGGTTGAAAATTGCTGGTTAGGGCATTGTTTTGGACATGGCCAAGGATAATTACAATGACAACTAGACCAGGATGACGGGGCAGGAGGAATGGAGAGTAGTAATTAGATTTGACAAAGGTTTCCTTTTTTTCTCAGGTAAATCTGGACAATTGGGAGGTCAATGGATGGAGAAGATGGGAACAGGACGGGGGGGGGGAAGGGGGGTGGCTCCGGTGCCATTCCCTAAGTGGGGAATCTAGGAGGGGAAAGGATGTTATGTTCCTGTTTGTGCTCAGCCTGAGCTGAGACACCTATCAGGGGGAGATCCTTACTCTGGAACTGGGGGTGGGGGGTGGGGGAGATTCTGTGCTGGGGAAAAGGAGTTGGGGTCATCAGCATGCAGGCTGGGAGGTGGAGCAGTGGGCAGGAAGGACACCCCGAGGACAGTGCTGAGAGAGAAGTGAAGGGACCAAGGACACAATCCGGGATAGCGCCAATCTCTGGGGGCAGGCAGAGCAAGGACACTGAAGGAGACTGGGAAGAAGTGGCCAGGATGCCAGGAGCAGGATGCCAGGAAAGAGTGGGCATTGTAGGAGCCGAGGAAAATGACAATTTCACCATGGAGCTGCCCAGCAATGTCACATTGCTACCGAGAGCCTGGGCCAACAAGCCCCTTGGCAGGGGGCAGTAGATTTGGCGTATGTGGGCTATTGGTGACCATAGATAAAGCAGATGCAGGAAAAGGTGGGGTTAGAGGCAGAAAACCAAAGGAAACCAGTGTGGGAGTAGAGAAAGGCGTCTCCAGGGCAGGGTAGGCTACAGTGTGCCTGGGTCTACGCTAGGAACTTTATGTGCCATCTTTTCAGTTCTTACAATTGAGTGGAATAGGTGGTTTCAGTTCCGCTTTATAGATGAGGACACTGAGGCTTTGGGCAGGTTGTGGCTTTGCCCAGACTCCCACTGATACTAAGATACATGAGATCCCTGCGAGGTGACAGCTCCATGTCAAGCTGACAACCCTATAAGCCACCTGTGCTTCCTGAGCATATTAACTGCACAGAGGAATGCCCACCCTCAGGGCAGGCAGGTCCTGGAGCTGCAGACCCTGCATGTGCCCAGAGGAACTGCCTGATGTGACTCTGGCTGTAAGTGAAATTCTTTGCATAAACGCAGGTGCATGCTGGTCCCTTAAAAACATTTAGGAAACGAAACAGGGAATCGCATAGACCTGCCGCACCCTGCCTGCATTCCTTTGACCATGGGGTGGAAAACAGGACTGTACAAGTCACTTCCTTCTTCCGCAAAGGTTTCCTAGTCGTTTGAGGGGTTTCACACTGTGCAGGAAGCTGGGTCACTTAACTCCTAAATGTCACATTAGCAGACTCTGCTGGGAGTGCCGGCATCCTTGCTTAGGCCTTTTGAAGTCTCAGCCCCAAGCAGCTCCTGCCCCTCAGAAAAGGAGGCCCTGATTTATTTATTTGGCGCGGGGAGGCAGTGCATGAAATATGCAGGCTGATCAGAATAAATCATTAGGAGCTGGGAAGTGTGTGGCTGGCTGCTCTCTAGGCCCCCAGCCACACAGCCCAACCCTCTGACTCTTAGGCCCTGCTGGGTGCCCCATGGCACCAAAATAATACTCAGCCTCCCACCAAGACCAAAATCACATAATCTATCCCTGGAGCAATGCTTGGAGGCTCACAGGCACTTCACACCTTCTTGCATTTAACGCTCACAGCAAACCATAAGTTGGGTATAACTTACCCCAGTGTATAGCTGAGGGAGGGGCCTCGCTTAGGTTAAGTGCACGCCTGGACGTGGGACCCGTCCAGTTCTGAATTCAGAGCACTTTCACCACCCAATACTGAGCAGGGCTTCTGATCATTCAGCCCACATTTATTGAGTGCCTACTGAATGCCAGGCCCAGCCCGAGGTATTTCATGATAAAGGACCCCTCAAACACAGCAGTGTAGGTGGTGGAAGATTAGGTTATTTCCTCATTCTCAACCAAGGTGGCCTTGGACATCTGTGATGGAGGCTGGAGATACGAAGACGAAGAAAATTCATAATCACTGGCCTTGCAGTTGAATGACTGCAGCCTCATCCAGCCCTAGCAGGGAGTTAAAAATCATTCCCATTTGCAGGTGGCACTTCCCTTCTGGCTCATACCCTCCAAGCAGTGGTTATAAATGTAGAATGGGAGCTTTCAGAGTGGCTATGAGAACCAAAGAGGAGAATACAGGCAATTTCTGGCTTGGGACCTAACTCATAGTGAGTGTTCAATAAATGATAGTTATTTAAGTCATGATGAAAGAAACTGTGAGCCATCTGCTAGGTCCCCAAACACTCCCTGTGTTTACTTACTGCCACTGGTTCCCCACAACAGTCCCTCTGCTTGGAAGGGAGCTTTCCCCTCCCTCTACCAAACCAAAGGCCCAAACTTCCTCCTCCTCTTCCAGGAAGCATTCCCAGAGTGCTGCTCCCCGCTCCCGGTAACCCATTTGCCGTGAGCTCAGCCCCTCGTGTTGGAGCAATGGCTCAGGTGTGGCCAGGCCTTGATTTCTGCCTGCTGGTTGGTTCCTGAGCAGAACCTGAAGTCTGGCTTCTGACATCCTGGGCAGCATAGAGTCTTGTTCCCCACACCCTGCCCGGGGCCCCTCAGGGGTCTGAAGGTAGAAGGCTGGTACCCCTGTGTTCTTCCATTCACTATGGCCCAGGTGATGGTGACTATGATAGGCACCAGCTTGGCTGCTTTGTAACTCCATTGTGCAAACAATGCTGTGTCCTTTAGACACATGAGCCTTGCAGACTGAGGACAGGGCATCTGTGGACAGATAAAAAGGTACACTGGGGGCCAGGAGGTTGGGGTATTGAGCAGAGGAGAGGGGCTGTGATACTGGGTCTGTTACTGGCTGGCTGTGCCCTACAAGCTCTGTGCAGGTTGCCACTGACTCACTATGTGACCCTGACTATTCCCTTCCTCTGGGCCTCAGTTTCTCCATCTGCAAACCGCACTGCAGGAATTCCTAGGGATTAAGGTCACCTGGAGAACGTCTAGAAAATACACATGACTGGTTCTAGCTTGGACCTATTATATTGAAACTTCTCGGGGTGGACCCTGAGTAGCAGTCTTTTTAAAGATCCTATAGCCTGGACGGAGGTGCTCAATGGTTGAGCACTGACTTATGAACCAAGAGGTCACTGGCTGGATTCCTGGTTCAGGGCACATGCCTGGGTTTCAGGCTCAAGCCCAGTGGAGGATGTGCCAGGAGGTATTTGATCCATGTTGTTCTCTCATTGATTGATGTTTTGACCTCTCGGTCCCTCTCCTTTCCTCTCTCTCTAAAATCAATAAAACTATTTTTTAAAAGTCCTCTAAGTGGGTCTTGATGCATAGCCAGAGTTGAGAACCACTGGATTACACCGAGGGCCCTTCAAGCCGACGCTTTCTGTTCTCAGAGGCTAAAAATACTGTGAAACAAAGAGCTCCCTTTCCTGCAGAATAATACCGGTTCCTTGTTGTGGGGCAAAAATGGAGTGTTCTCTTAAAAAAGATAAATTCTTTATTTCAAAATTTGGATTTGGATGATAGGTCCCATTTGTAAAAATTAGACTTCTCCCCCAAAAGTCCAGTCTGAAAATATTCACTGGCTGTGGGCCCGAGAGCAGTCCTGAGAGGGCAGGGAAATAGCTTCAATCCCAGAGTGATTCTGCCTCCTGCCTGCACTACAGCCATCCCCGGTGGCAGAACCAATTGGAGGGTCACAGTTTCCTGCTTTAGCTGGGTCCCCACATCCTGCTACAGGGGCTCTACCTCCCTCACCCCCAAATGTCCACTGGTCCTCACCTGGCTGAAGATCTGAACTGAGGAAGGTGTATATGTACTTTAAAATGTAACTGCTGTTGCAAACAGATTCAACGCATTACTATGAAGTTAAAAACAAGATGACCTTGGCTCAATGAAAATCAAAGATTCTAGGACTCCTGCCCCTCTTACGAAAACCCTAAACT